CTATAGTAAGCAATACGTTCTGGGAAGCTTCTTTGTCTCTGTGTGCTCAAGACTTGCCTTTCCCACTTAGAGACACTGGGGCTGTCACACTCCTTCCCCACCAAGCGCTACCTGGCAGCCTGGCTTGGGGAAACTTCTTTTACTTCCTCAAGCAGCAGGGACCAGTGGGAGCCCAGTGGCACCCAGATAAACAAAGCAGGCCAAATAATGCCACAAAGGCTCTGAAATTAATCTGCCATGAATAGACCAGAAAAGGAGCCCAAGATCCACATGCTAAAACTAAACAGGTGACTACCTATTAAAATAAAAAACTAAATAAGACCCTATGTTAGTGACTTCTAACATAGTAGAAAAATGTTTAAGAGGTAGAAAATCACTTGTCATAACAATAGCAAAGGAAATGGCAACTTGAATAAGAAAAAAACAAATGACACCAACACAAGATGAATTAGGTATTGGAATTTTTCTGACAAGAATTTTAAACTAGGTAGCATAAAAATGCTTCAAAATCAATTACAAATTATCTTAAAACAAATAAAAATTTCAGCAGAGAATGAAATAAAATTATTTAGATCCCGGTTAGTAATGAAATTAGAAAGAACCAAATGGAAGTTTTAAAATTGAAAACCATAATCGAACTCACTATATGGGTTCAATAGAGGATAACAGAGGATAGAATCAGTAAATTTGAGAACAGAACAATAGAATTTAACCAATACAAACAACAGAGAGAAAAAAATAGAAAAATAATATCTGAGGCCCGCCCAGTGTGGCTCAGTGGTTGAGTGTCAACCTATGAACCAGGAGGTTCATTCTATTTTAGAACAAAAGTTCTAAAATTTATATAATTGCAGAAGGAAAGGAGAAATTGAGTATTTCAAAGAAATTGTGCCTGAAAATTTACCAAATTGACGAAAGAACAATGCAAGTTCATGTTTCGCCATTTCACTTTTACAAAAGACTTACATTTGTACCTGTTTTTGCTAACCAAAAGAACTCCAAAGAGGATTTTTGCTTTTATGAAAAAAGGTGAAAAGTGAAAACAGTGTTCAGCATTTGTTTAGCAGTGAGCTGTTATAGAGGATTGATAAAGATAATAGTTAGAAAAGAATATTGATAAGCTGATTGATAAAGAGAAAAAATTACCGATATCAATGACAAACGGGGCGGGGGCATCAGTATAGATCCTGCAGACATGGGAAAAATCACAGGGAGATATGTTTATTCTAGTAATTATAATAATAGACAAGGTGGAATTTGAGCATCAAACTAGGTTAATGGATTGTTACCATAAAAGGCATAATTTGCCCAGCCGGTGTGGCTCAGTCGTTGAGCGTTGACCCATGAACCAGGAGGTCACAGTTTGATTCCTGGTCAGGGCACATGTCCGAATTGCTGGTTGGATTCCCATTGGGGGGCGGGGGGGTGTCAGTTAATGATTCTCTGTCATCATTGATGTTTCTATCTTCCTCTCCTTCTCCCTCTCCCTTCCTCTCTGAAATCAATAAAAACATTTTTTAAAGGCATAATTTATGAAGATCTTACTGTCATAAGCTGGTTTGGCTTAATAGCTAAATACATAAAGCAAAATTAATCTGAGAAATGTCATTAGTGAAGCAGTTGATTTCAACATACATGTCTCAGAGTTAGATTTAAATGTAGATAAAATTAAGTAAGAATATAAAGGAATTGGCCCTAACCAGTTTGGCTCAGTGGATAGAGCGTCATCGGCCTGTGGACTGAAGGGTCCCAGGTTCGATTCCGGTCAAGGGCATGTACCTTGGTTGCGGGCACATCCCCAGTTGCGGGTGTGCCGGAGGCAGCTGATCGATGTTTCTGTTTCTGATTCTCTATCCCTCTCCCTTCCTCTCTGTAAAAATCAATAAAATATATTAAAAAAATATAAAGGAATTGAATAGTGCATTCAATAAACTTAATTATATGTGCAGATATAAATAGTATTTCACATTCCTACAATAGGCTGTTTTTTGTTTTTTTTAATATCCAAGGAACTTTGGTCAAAGTTTATTAATGTCCAAGGTCATATACAAAGTCTGAACAGATGAGAAAAGTTGAGATTTTATAGACCGTATTGTCTGGAAATAATACAAATAAATTAGAAAGAAATAGTTAATAAGATGACTCCTTTGAAACCTGCCTTCTATGGAGGATTTCCCTTTTTTTCTCTATTCATTTTCATTGTAGAAATACCCTCAGCATATATTCAAATTGGGAAATTGGTAGTAGCAAGGCATTAATACCTTATATTTCTGTTCTTATATTGTCCATATGTCTTTATGTTTCAATATGATGCCTTTGTGTGACTGCTGCTGAAGTAGGATACAGGTAGTACCAGTGTCCATACCAAGATCTCTAATTATACTATAAAACTTGACCTGAAATTTTAGGTTGCTATTCTTGGCCTTCCCCTTTCAATTCTTTCTGAATTTTCAATAACCACTTGTTGGTCATTCACAGGGAATTTCAAATTGAAAACTGATAAAATTTAAAAGAAACAATACCTAATACAGAGGAAGTGTGGAGAATAGAATGTTTTCATATATTGCAGGTGAAAATATGAATTGTTACAGCCTTTCGGAAAATAATTTGGCAGTCTGGTTAACAATTAAAATTCATATTCTTTTTGGCCCAGTAAACCTCCTAACAGGCTATTCTTAGAAATAAAAGCACAAGTAAGGCCAATGTATAGGGATATTTATTGCAGCAATGTATATAATGCCAAGCAATTGAAAACAGAATGAGTGTTAGTAGAAGGGCAGAAGAAAAATGGTATCTCTATAGGTTGGAATATTATGCTACATGAAAAAGAATTAATTAGACCTGATAGTTGGATAGAGTCCCACAAGTTTTGTTCAGTGAGAGAACAAAGAGTCAAAAAAGTTTCTATAATAATTAATTTCTGTAATAAAAAATTATGTAAGAGAACCATGCATACATCATGGGCTCATGAGCATGAAGAAAAATAGTTAAGAATGCTTGCTAGTGGCTAAATGTTTATCTTGGTGGGGGGTAGGTGGGAGAACGAGGGAAGAATTTTTTTTAGTTGATCAAAAAAGCCTGTGATTATATCTATTCATTATCTGTAAAATTATGTAAATGTGCATGTTTAAAGATACTAAGTAAATATTTAAAGTAAAAGTGGCCTATTTCTATTCTAAAAGTGATGCCGATTTGCAAATACCTGAGCATGTCTATGTGAAGGCCATAGAAACTCTTAAGAGTAAAACAAGCATAGTAGAAAACCATAAACTTTTTGAGGTAGGAGAACCTAAAACAAAGAATTAAGGTAGTGCATGCATGCACGCTCTCTCTTTCCCCGTCTTGAGATCTCTCTCTAAAGCAGTAACCAGTGGGAAATTTAATTACCAATAAAACTGGGGTGGACTCTGTGGTTGGTTGGTATTGCTCTTCAGGGACCTTTGCCTGCCTTTGATTTGTCATCATTGGTGCTGGCTTTGTGTTCAGGCTGCAGTACTTCTAGCTGTAAAATCCACAGTAGTGGAGTCCAGAGGGAGAAGTATGGTCTCTCTGGGTGTCTGTTGTAGGATTTCTTGGAAACGTTTGCTGAGATGGAGTTTGGGGTACAACTTGGTTATAACAACTGTGAGAGGAAGGGACTGAAAGCAGAACTGGGCAAAAGAAGAGCTTTCTTGCAAGCCTGCCCAAGGGAAGCTCTGGAGCAAGGGTTGCTTGTCAGAGTCCATGTTGGATTGAAATGCTCAGCCTTTATACCTGCTCTGGTGTAGGCTGCCCTGGGAAGGCAGCTCCTGAAGGACTGGCAGCTGGAGGCTGTGGTGACCAGACTCCCTGCTGAGCTGGCAGCAAGTCCTTCCTTGAAGGGGAGATCTAGGTGGTGCATCTCTCAGTCTACATACTGTCTTTAAGAATCAGAAAATATTTTCCAGAAGTCCTTCATCAGACATCCCCTCACATTTAAATATTAGGTTACATGTTGTGACAAAGACTAATAATGAGCCTTCATAGTCTTTCTCCACTTCTCTAGTAAAGAAAGTCCTGCTTTTCATTGGGTGCATGGTAATCTGGGGTAATGGCTACATTTCTCAGCCTCTACATTTAGATTTGTCTAACTTTAGGCTGATGGTTAAGTTGTGCTGTCCTGTTAGACTTGGAGGCGATATGTGCCTTGTTTTCTTTTCCTCCCCCTTGCTGGGTAGACTGTGGGAATAATAGCTGGAGTTTGAGCAGCATCTTGGATTATGAGGTGGAAGCCACATATTTGAAGATGACAAAACAAGATAGAAGAATATTAGGTTCTTGATGATCATGGAAATGCCTTATATGCTCTGGATTGCTTCCCTTTGCCAATCAATTATTGGCAGAGGGCACAGGAAACCATGATTGGCTCAGACTAACATTTTGGGGGTGAATAGACATTGGGGAGTAAAACATGGAGACATTTGTGCCAGTTTATAGCAGAGGGAGAGAAGGGCAAAGAAGTCAGGAGATTTTCAGGGCATTATAATTGTGATAGTTCATGGGATCTTAACTAGGGAAGTGGGAAAGTGAAATGTGTGGGTAATGGGGATGAACGTGGAGGAGAGTTGGTTTAGTGGATTGGAGGTCCCCATGGGGCTGATGACTCACTGGGAAGGGAGAAGAAAGCTAAATGAACCGGAGAGAGAAGAGATGGTAATAGCATAGGAGTACAGGACACCTAAAATGAGCATTTTGGTGGTTGTGCTATTACTGGTAATGACAAGACCTAGAAGACTGAGTAACTAAAGTGGGATGGAGAAAGATTCTAATGTTGAAATTATGAAATGGAGAGTCTGGATTTTGGAGGGAACATCTCGGATGTTGAAGTAGTTGAGTGAAAGGCAGTGAACAAGATGCTAATGTCTTCAGTGGGTGAAATGTAATTAGGGTCTCAGTAGATATCTAAAAAAGTGAGGGAGACTGATCCAAAAGAGTGTCTGTTTCAGAGAGACTGACATTGTTGGTGGAAGACGGAGGAAAAAATGACGTGGAAACGACAGTGAGAAAGAAAATAGCATCCTTCTTAAATAATAAAAATTTCTATATAACACACTATACTGGAAACAAAGTATAAAGAAAAAAGGAAAGTGAGAAAATATATTTATAGTATATATAACATACAAATGGGAGCTCCTTAATATAAAAAGAACTCCTAAATATTAATTTGAAAAGACCACTTGGTTGCAAAGTAGGCAAAGAATATGGAATCTAAATTCACAAAGGGGGAAATACAAATGAACAAGCGATGAGAAGATTCAAACGTTAGGGCTAGTACCAGTCAAAACATTAATTAAATAATAGGATATGCCTACCATATTGGCAAGATCTCAAAATATTGCCAAACTTCAGGCTTGGCACGAGTGTGGGAAGACAGGTGCTGATGTACACTATTCAAAGGTTTGGTTATAGATTGCCACTTCAGAAGCAGCAACTTAAATGGCTATGGTGGATCTGTTGTGAGTTGTGGCGTGATGTGTTTGCCCATCACAGTTATGCTGACTATAGTGTTATTGTATTAAATACTTATAACTGTTACTCTGAAATTTTTTTTGGTCAATCCTCACCCAAGGATATTTTTTCCATTGATTTTTTTTCCTAGAAAAAGTGGAGGGAGGAGTGAGAAAGAGAAACAAAGAGAGAGGAACACTGAGTTGAGAGAGACATTGATTGGTTGCCTCCCTCTTGTAACCCTACCAGGGCAGGAATCGAACCTCTGTGCACTGGCCAACACTCTAACCATTGAGCACACTAGCCAGGGCTATGTGATCTTATTTTTTAAAATACCAGCTCATATTTATAAATAAGTTTTTGTGGCTGTTTTTATAGTAGAATGTATTATTTTCTCCATCTTATCTGGAAAGATTTAGATATGATTTTTATTTATTTGTCTTGATTTTAATATATGTGTATCTTCTTAAATGTATATATTTGTTTTATCTGTATTTGTGTAATCTGAATATAACTATGCAGTTATTTTCTTCTGGTTATATAGTATGCATCTCACTTTGCTTAATTTGGATTGTATTGAGAATTAAGAAATATATTATTAATATATAAAATCTTGATGGACTTAAGTTTTTTTTCCTTTAAATTACAGATTAACTGGATCTTCTGGGTTTGTAACAGATGGACCTGGAAATTATAAATATAAAACGAAGTGCACATGGCTCATTGAAGGACAGTAAGTAATAATGGCTAATTATTTTTTTAGGATAGAGCTCAGTGTGGCATTACTTTTCCTATAAGTAAAATTAACAAACTGTAGCATAAAGTACTTAAAATATTTTTATTCGATAATTTCTTATTTTCTAAGTAAATTTTATTTTTCTTAATCTTTATTTTTACTTAAAAAAAACTTCTTGTGATGATTTAATGCTGTAGATGAATTGTACACACCAGAATTTTGTATATTTTCAGTTGTTTTAGTTTAAAAAATGGAGTATTTTAAGTGATGTGCTTAAAGCATTAGAAAATCATAATATTGTGTCATTTTTATAAATACATATTTTTATTGTGGGGATGAAAGTTAGAATAACTGTTATTGGCCAAACAACTCCTTCTCTTTGCTCCCATGCCTCTCCAGCTGTTACCTTCTTTTTCTTACCTTCAGCAAACCTTTCAAGCAGTGTTTCTCAAACTTCTTGGTTTCAGGACCTCATTACACTCTTAAATTTATAGAATTCTAAATAACTTTTGTTTTTGTGGGTTATATCTGTTTTTACCATATTAAAAATTAAAACTAAGAAATACTATTTAATTCAGTTTAAACAACTGATAAACCCACTATGTGTTAGCATTAATGGCATATTTTTATGAAAAAAGAAGCCCTGTATTTAAAAAGTTAATAAAAGAATGGCATTGCTTTACATTTTTGTAAATCTCTTCCCTAGATTAATAGAAGACAGCTAGATTATCATTTTTTCTGCATTCACTTTTAAAAAAAATACATTTTTATTGATTTCAGAGAGGAAGGGAGAGGGAGAGAGAGATAGAAACATCAATGGTGAGATAGAGTATCATTGATTGGCTGCTTCGTGCACATCCCCTGCTCAGAATAGAGTCTGCAACCTGGGCATATGCACTGACCAGGAATTGAACCATGACCTCCTGGTTCTTAGGTAGATGCTCATCCACTGAGTCACGCCAGCCGGGCCTACATTCACTTTGTTTCGATGTTACCATGGTGAAGTATGTGAAGAAAATTAGGCTTCACTTGAATATGAAGTGGGAAAAGGGAAGGGGTTTTTATAGTGCTTTTAAAGAATTGTGGATGGTAGTCTTTGACAAGTGGTAGTTTCTTAAAAGTAAATTACAATGTGGAATATGAAACAATGTGAATGAACTTTAGGAATTTGTTAAATTAAAAGTAGTTAGTGTTCTTGTACTTTGAATGGATCTTTAACCTGTGCATGGTTTTATAACATGATTTGTGGTCATTTGGAAAATATTGGCTCACTGAATTATGCAGATATCCCATATGTTGATATATTTCATTATATAATATATTTAAAAAATCACATTGTGCTGTGGCCAGGTAGCTCAGGTGGTTAGAGCATTGTCCTGCTACCTAAGGTTGCAGATTATATTCCTGGTTAGGGCACAATAAAGAATCAACCAGTGAATGCATAAATGGGTAGAACAATAAAAATCGATGTTTTTCTCTCTCTCAAATCAATTTAAAAAACCACATTAGTTATATCACCATCAATCTCATCAGAAAGTTTTAAATATTGGGAAGTTGTATCTAGGTGGCAGATATCAATCTTCCGAAGCTTTAATTATTGCTTGAAGGCTTGTATTTTATCTTTGGCACCAAATACTGCCAATTGTTTTCTTTGAAGTGACAGTTTTACTTTGTTCATTTTCAAGAAAATATCTGCCATATATCCAAGTCTGACTTTCAAGTAAAAATGGTAAATGGTGTTCTAAAAGAAAGGCAACTAGTTCAGCTCACAACTCAAACAATTTCAAAAGTGATTTTCCTTGAAACCACTGTACTTTGTTAGGTAGCAGAAGTGCTTTATGCATACTTCCCACCTTGTCATGCATAATATTAAAAAGATGTGTACTATTAATAAAATTTATAGTTTCTACCATGTAATAAAGCTGTGCTTAAATGAAGCTGTCATTTCTTTTTTTCTGTCTGTGAGGGAGTGATGGTGAAGCATTACAGTGATTACTAGTACAGTTTGGTGCTACCGTCTTGTTAGATTCCAAGGTGTCAGCAGTTTTACCCACCATTTGCTCTTGTACCATTAGTAAATGCCAACGTGATGATAAGGTACATGAAAGCTTAGTATTAATTATTATGCACATAGTCTTGACCTTTTGGGCCCCTAAAAGGGTCTCAGGGCCCTTGGTGTTCTGTGGACCACACTCTGAGAACTTGTGCTCTATTGTCTGCCCTTGCCCTTTCTGTCAGTCCACTCCCATCTGGTGTCCTCCACCATTGCTCAGCATGGGATCTCAGTGGTTGTTCCTCCTCAGCCTAAGCAACAAATAATTTCTTCTTCCTCTTATTCCCATATTCAGCCTATCAGTAAGTTCTGTCCATTTTCCTTCTAGAATATCTCCCAAATCCTTCTACATTCTCCTTTTCATATCCATCTCTGAAATTATTATAAAAACCACCACCCTCAATTTCCTCGGCCCCTGTAATAGCCTTGAAATTGGCCTTTTGATTTTTGCTTTTGCCCCTTGCTTACCTCTTCTTATCTCATGAGGTTCCCTCGATTTACTGTTTCAGATATGCTGATTTTCTTCATATTGTTCTTACACATCAACTTCTTTCTTCCTGAGTCTTTAAAACAATGCTGTTTCCTCTGTGTGAAACATTGTTCCTAAGCTTTTCATATGGCTTATCTCTTGTCATTCTAATCTCCTTCAAAGCTTTCTGGGGTATTTCCCCACCACCTGGTGTACTACCATAACATAATTCCTTCAATTTCTTCACAGTATTTATCATCAGCTGAGTTAACTTATTTATGTATTTACTTAGATAGGTAAGTGTGAGGTAGAGGAAAGTCTAGACTGGAGACATATAATTAGGCATCCGCGGGAACTAGATGGTGTTGCTAATACCAAGAGCTGTTTGAGCTGAAGCCAAGTAAGAGAGTGAAGGAGTAAGTGGGATATGAGGAAATGGAGAAAACAAAGCTTTCTGTAGAGTTTTACTCTATTAAGAGGAGAAAGGGATGGGTGGAGTAATAACTAGAAGAAGAGTTGGGATTTGAAGCTTTTTATGTTTTGTTGTTTTTGTAAAATATGTGATATCGAAGGAGATTTAAATGTGGATGTAGATGTTTCAGATAAGGGAGATGCTAAATATTTGAAAAATGGAAGGAGAAGTAGGTAGGTGTATCTGTTTTGAAAAATGGGAATTTGAGGGATTTTTGTCTTGGTGAGAGAAGTGGGTGGGACTGAATGGCTTGAAATAGTAATTGAGATGACCAGTTGTGGAGAGGGAGAGAGAGTTAGTAATAGGACTGCTGGCAGGATTGAAGTACCATTTGAAGTTGGTGAGCAGTGACCAATCCTGGAGCCAGCCCTCTCAGTGGTGTGACTTTCTCTGGCACGGATTAGTTTTGTTTGGGTTCAGTCTAAGTCAAAGCAGGTAAGTGTTTTCCTCTAGACCATGGCTTTTGCCAAGTAGTTCCATGAAAAGTCAGAGGGGTAGGTGAGTTTAGAGAATTGGCAGGTGTGATTATGAAATGATGTAGTGTGGAGTCTTCAGTTGAATAAGGAAGTATAGAACTAGAAGGGCTAATGGGTTGGTTCAGAGCCTGTTAATGAATGGCTACTGTATAGACTATAAGGCCCAAAGAGGCACAGACCATGCTGTTTTGTGTATTAGTTCATGTTTAGTGGTCTGTTGCAGATAGTATATACTAAGTGAATCTTTGGCAAATAATGATATACTCTTTAGTATTAATTTCTCCTCTCTGTAAATTAAAAACCTAGATATATATTTTTCAAATGTTTGATAGTGATAATTATTATAAATTATTTTTGGTTTGTTTTTTTCAGGCCAAATAGAATAATGAGACTCCGTTTCAATCATTTTGCTACAGAGTGTAGTTGGGACCATTTATATGTTTATGATGGGGACTCAATTTATGCACCACTAATTGCTGCCTTTAGGTAAGCTCACTCATATTAGTTGTTAATCATATGATTTCTGAATTCAAACATATGTCCTAGGTTGCATTCTTACTGGACTCACCTTTATTATTCCTTAACACACTATTTCATGGAAATAGTACTATTTCTGGAGGCCTGACTTGGTTTCCTGTAACTATTAGGTAAGTCTATTGGGCAGAGTACTTGACTTCTCTTTTTTAATTTCCTGCTCTGGATAGTCGTGATGGTAGTATTGTTCATCTGCTTCTCCTGGTGGTGGTGAAGTTTACATTTTAAAAATATTTTGTGAGTAATATATTGAATAATAATATTTCTGTAAAAAAATTAAATCAGGGATCACGTTAATTTTAATCCTTGCTGTGTTCCTCATTACATAGGCCTTCAGGAAGTATTTGTTAAATTCAAATTTAGGTGTGTGTGTATTTATGGGTGAGGGGAATTTTATGGAAGAATACACAGAAAATGAACAGTGAATACACATGCAAAATGAAATGATCTGAGGAGAATGAGGAATATACCATTTATGTATTATAATATTTTTTCAATAATTGTATTCTATATTGTTAAAATAGCTTAACACCCAATATATGGCATGTTCTAATTTCTTTTGGCATTTTAGTTTTTATTAACAATAACTGGCTGTGTTATTATCTTTTTGACCACATAGGAATTGAAAACCATCCTATTTTTCTTCCTTTAACTTGATAGAAGATTTATAAAATAATATATTTTTAAAATACACATCTCCTTAGGAAGTCATACTTGTCAGTTTTTCATCTACAACTCACTTTCTGGATTCCCCACCCCCTATAAGTATTTTATTTCCTTGACTTTAAATAGAAATCAATTCAACAAATATTTTTTTGTATTCCTCACATGGGACTAGTCTCATGTGGGTGAGGAAGTAACAGAGTAAATAGTACAAGAGTTGCCAAGGACACAGGAGACCAGGGGACTAATGTGCCCTTGTATTTCTCCCCTCCCTTTGGCTTAGAAATCTCTCTAACATATCTTTGAACTAAGAACCAGTTTCTAAGATTCACTTCCGAGGCCAAAGATCAGGGTGGATAGGCCATGCTAAGAATTAAAATGTCATTTGCTAAGTGTTGAGCATGTATGTCTTTATGCCAGAATTTGAAGCATTCCTTGCATTATAGTAAGAGGCACCACAAATTTTAACATAAGCGTAAAAACTACCTATAAATGTTATCATGATAGTACTTGTTGGGGGTTCACTTGATACTGAGTTCATTAATCCAACTATATGGAGTCTTGTAATGTGCTGGGCACGTGTAATCAGCTTGCCATTAGCCTGGGGGGAACATGAGCCAAGCAGGTATGCAGAATCAGTGCTGTGCTTCACCTGGACTGGGTATTTGATGAGCAGACATGTGAATCAACAGCAGCATATAAATAAGCAGAAGGCTGTAATTGTTCTAATTGATGACATTTGAGAAGAGCCAAAGTATATGTATGTACAGAAAACAGAAATTTTAGGTTTCTATAAAAAAAAACAAAACGTTGGTTAACTGATAGTATAGATTAATCCATTGATTGTGTTAAAATTTAACCTAAGGCACAGTATTAGAATATAAATTTTCTAAAATTATAGGGAGAAAATACAGGTTTGAAAATTGAAATTTACCTGAAACACAAAACCTCTAAACCACTGATAAACAGAACAATTTGGAAACCCTGTCACAAGATGGGGAGCCGAGAAATGCTGTTGGGTCTGGAGGACTTGGATAGAGGAATCAACCCAGTGGTAATGTGCTGGGGCCTAGAGTGGAGAGAGCCTGGCAGTAGCTGGTTCAGTCAATAAAGAAAAAAACCACACAGGATTCAGAGGACGTGGACTTTTAATCTGAATTCCGTTTTGTAGTCTTCAGTTTTTAAAACCTAAGATGCAGGTGTTGTATGGTGTTTTCTCTGGGTGTATTGCAAATTATGAAGCAAAGAGGCCGGTGTGGCTAGGGCAGCCGTGGGCAAACTACGGCCCGCGGGCCAGATCCGGCCAGTTTGAAATGAATAAAACTATTGAAAAAAAAGACCGTACCCTTTTATGTAATGATGTTTACTTTGAATTTATATTAGTTCACACAAACACTCCATCCATGCTTTTGTTCCAGCCCTCCGGTCCAGTTTAAGAACCCATTGTGGCCCTCGAGTCAAAAAGTTTGCCCACCCCTGGGCTAGGGTCAAGTGAATAAGGGAAGAGAATAATGGTTGAGATTTTTGTTCATTGGGTGGTGGTGATGTCTGTGGAACAGACTGCATAGGACCTGGTAAGGATTTAGGCTTTTAGAGAATGAGGTGGCAGTGTTGGTAGTGGTGACAATATCTCAATAATTAAAGATATTGAGCATATGAAGCTATGCAATAGGCAGGTAAACATAGGAAAAATGGTTAACATTGGGAGTGTAAAAGAAACTCAGAATCTAAATTTAAAAATCACTTTTTACTTATTAGCGAAGCTAAAATAGGACTAGTAATCTTACTTGGTGGGGTGAGGTGGGATTGACTCTTCATTCTTTATTGATGGGACTTCAAGTTCGCATGTCTCTTCTGGAAAGCAAGTTGGTATTATGGGTCAGGAGCCTTAAAGCCATCATTTAGAACCTTGATATAATTCTTTCCCTCTCCAGGTACCCAGTGAATATTTTTGTGTGCTGGACCAAGATACCATAAGTTCTGAAGGAACTTTTAGTGATATTGGAAATGCTTATGGTATATTACTGGTAAAATAAACTATAAAATGTAATCTGGTATCAATTAGGCAAAGAAAATACATCAATATGTATTTGGAATTATGTGTTTGTTTATCAAGCTTACTTATTTATATGTTTACTTTTCATATCTTTTGCTAGTATTTGATAATCATCAACTCATGAAGTTTGTTACTTTCTGTGATTATTAGAGGTTTACTCAGTTTTTCAAAGAAGCATTATAAAAATGTTTATTAAAAGAAAGAATAATAGGGCCATTGATTTCAAATCTTAATAGAACTATAACCCAGAATAAAGGAGAATCTAGCAAAAGATTCAGGTCTATTCCCCAGAGAAACCAGAATAGGGTTGTAACATGCATTTATCACAGGAAGTTGCCCATCTTCTTGGAAGTGGTTTTTGAAATTATAAAGATGAATTTCAGCTCTGAGTTTGTGTTTGCCTCCATGTGATATGTCTGTGATTGTGTTTCTCTTAATAAGAAATGTATTTTCATTTCAGTGGCCTGATTGTTCCTGAAAGAGACGGCAATGAGACTGTCCCTGAGGTTGTTGCCACATCAGGTTATGCCCTGCTGCATTTTTTTAGTGATGCTGCTTATAATTTGACTGGATTTAATATCACTTACAAGTAAGATATTTAAGTCTAATATTTGTAGTTTTATTCAAAAGACTATATACTTTGTTTTAACAGTAATAATGACTAACATATATTGAGGGCTTATGGTGTGACAGGCATTGCGGTAAGCAGTTTGAATGTATTTTCTCATTTAAAGTTTTTTTAAAACAGTGAAATATGGGCACTGTTTTTCTATTTGTTTTATAATTGAAGAAGCTAGTGGGAAACAATACATTGTTAAAGTGCTTGAAACACAGTTTCAACCTAGATCTTTCTGCTATTGAGCTTCTGGAAGAGAGGAGCATTTTCCTGCTAATGGATTAAAACATAGAGGGTTTTTGCTAAGGACGATTTAACAAATAGTAGTAGTTTCATGTACTCAGTGGTTGCACCATTGATGACAACTTAGTTGAGGTTACAGAGGAAATGTAGACAGACAGACTTTAGCAGCTTTTGGAATTTGTTATGATACGAAGAGAGGCTAATTTGGTTGTTGCTAATCCTCACCTGAGGATATTTTTTCCATTGCTTTTCCGAAAGAGTGGAAGGGAGGGAGGAAGTGGGAAAGGGGGGCGGGTGGAGAGAATGTCACTGTAAGAGAGACACATCGATTGACTGCCTCCTGCTCATGCTCCAACTGGGGGTCAGGGAGCGAACCCACAACCCAGGTACATGCCCTTGACCAGGAATCGAATGTATGACCCTTTGGTGCGTAGTCTGGTGCTCTAACCACTGAGAAACCATGGCCAGGGCTAGAGAACCTTTTGTCTTTTCTATTTTCCTCTTAAGAAATGCCCCTCGATTAAATGAACCTCAGTAAAGGAAGCAAATTCCACTAACGGGGGGCGGGGAGGGCGGGCGGGGGGACGGGTGCTGCTCTCTCTGTGGAGTAGCCTATTCTCTGTCTCACTGCTTCACTAATAAACCCACTTCTTCAAACTGAAAAAAAAAAAGAAGAAATGTTTCTTTTTCATAAGTAGTTAAATAGGCTAGTGGCTTGTGATAAAGAACTTCTGTGGCCCTCAAAGCCTAAAATACTATTTGGCCTCTTACAAAATAAGTTTACCTGCTCCTGCCATAGGCAGTGATCTCTACTTGTAACCTTTATATTGGGTTCTTTTCTGCCTATTTTCTCATGATCTCAGTATTCATTCAGGCTGATTTGAAGCCGTCTCTATCTTGATTTGTATGGTGATTCAGTCTTTCAGGCGCCCAGGGTGTGTGACTTGGCAGCCTAGGCGGCTTATCACACACAGTACTAGCAAGGTGATTTTTAGTGACACAGGTAGGCATAAAGGCTGGGTTGAGGGGAGATGCTGATAGGTTGGTTGGGTACAGATGAGATGTCTAAACAGGACATTGATATTGGAATCTAGGACTCAGACAGTGACTTACTGGCCTATGGGGCATGTGGACAGTGACTGGCCTATGGGGTTTGTGCACGGTGAGGAGAGGGATAGTAGAGGCAGCTAAGAGGCATGGGAATGCTGGTGGGCTTCATTGTCACAGAAGCCCAGAGAAGAAAGTGTCAGGAAGGAGGAAGCTGACAGCTATGAGGTTGAGTAAGCAAAGGAGGCTTTAGGTCACCCTAGCTGGGGAGGGTGGAGTCGGGAGCCTAGTAGGAATGGAAGATTAGAAAGTCATGGCACTGACAGTGGGAAACTGGTGAATTTCTTCTCCGAAGGGGAAGGGCTAGAAGGGAGATGTGAGTTTAGGCTAGGGCTTCTCAACCTTCACATGCACAGGAATCTTCTGTAGGACTTGTTAAAGCACAAATTTCTGGGCCCTACCCAGAGATTGTAGTTCAGCAGAGCGGGGCCTGCGAATCTGTGTTTCTACATACCTCCTGGGTGATGCTGCTGCCACCTGCAACAATCTGGGCAATAATCTTTAACACATTTTGTAAACTTTCAGAGACTATCCAGAGGGTGCCGGGAGCCGGTCCACCCTTGCTGTTTCAAGGGACCTGGCATATATGGCATACTGTTCTTAATATGTTTGCTCACCTTCTTGGCACTATGTGTTTTAACCAAGGTCACCTCTCCAAGAAAGGTTGTTTCCCCAGGTAGAGATTTTCCCCTGAAGTTAGGGAGGAAATAAAACCCCTTCACTAAGTGCCAGGTGGGTAATTAATCTCTTTAACTACGAACAATCATGCTTAAGCTACATAATCTTTACTCCCTGGAATGGAGATAAGAAACGCCCTAACCTTTGGAATAGAGATTGATAGGATTGGAATCAACTAGTCAGAACCTGGCTACAGAACTTGGTTGGAGAACCTAGACAGAACCTGGCTGCAGAAGCCGGCTACAGAACCTGGCGACTGAACCTGGCCGGAGAACCTAGCGAGAGAACATGGCTACAGAACCTGGCTGGAGAACCTGGATAATGTGGCTGGAGAACCTAGCAAGAGAACATGGACACAGAACTTGGCTGGAGATTGTGGCTAGAGATCCTGGCAAGGCTGCTGATCAACTGAACGCTATCTCTGTGTCATTCCTTCTTCGCCGACTCCGTCCACACCTTTGGGGACCCCTGGACCTGCTGGGGCTGGACCCCAGCAATGAGGATGATGGTGCATTGTTGCAGTTTGTCTTATTCTTTTCTTTTCCAAACTTGCAACATGCATTTGGTCATTTTGTAATGCTCATCATTTGTGGGCTACCAAGAATAGGGTAGTCATTCCATCCTTGCGAAGCTAAGCCTGGACATTTTGCAAGAATTTCTTCTCTCTTTGTAAGTTCTTTCACTTATCTCTTAAGAGAATCCAGTAAGGTCAATTTGATTTTGTTACTTACCCCAGCTGTGCTTTGTTGGGTGACCCTGTTTAGGCTGAATGGTAAGTACTGCAGCCGTGCTTGTGAATGAACTGGAAAGACAGTGACGTTCTTAAACCTTGTGTAGGAGGAAGTTCTCCTAAATTATTACACGTGTTGCTTTGTTTTGATTTAATTTTTTCTCACTGTTTTTACAGTTTTGACATGTGTCCGAATAATTGCTCAGGCCGAGGAGAATGTAAGATCAGCAATAGCAGCAACACTGCTCAGTGTGAATGTTCTGAAAACTGGGAAGGTGAAGCATGTGACATTCCTCACTGTGTAAATAACTGTGGTTTTCCTTATCGAGGCATATGCAATTCCAGTGATGTCAGAGGATGTTTCTGCTTCTCAGAGTGGCAGGGTAGGTGCTTTTTTCACTTTTCTTCCAACTTACAGTATATTTCTAGTGTAATAACTTATAATTGACTTTATCCCTAGTATCTCTATCTTCTCTGTTGTTCAAATATCAGGTAGTGTTTAGATTTTCACATCTCTTTATTGAACTTCTTACAAATCTTTGAAATTTATAGATGTGTGGTTGTAGTCTCTTTAGAATTGGGGAAGGGTTTGAAATTCTTTGTAATTCATTCATGAAAGTTGGAGAACTTGGTCTCAGCCATAAGACGACATAGCAGAGAACCAAGCTGGGGGACGGGACAATAATAATGTCTCATCAGAAACTTTCATTACATAGTAAAAGTCTAAAGTAGTCAGCTAATGGATTTATCTGTAGATAAAAGTTATTAAAGAAGCTTTAGCTGATACTGATTTAGTGATTTTCTTTATACATGTATCCCTTCGTCAGACCACTTTTATTGTGAAAGGAAATGTGCTTTTATAAATGCCTTATTTGTTCAATTTGACCAAATCAAGGAGGTAAATAACTGATGGTGCAGCAGAAGCCAAACGTTCCAAGAATGGAGCTTCTTGATTTTCTAGGAAATGGGAAGTTTGTACTATTATACCTGGGACTAGTCTTTACATTTTAGCCCTAAAGTTTTGTTTTTTTTCCATTTGCACTAATAATCCCTTTGTCCTCTTTCCTCCAAGGGCTGTTGAAGCAAGTGTTTTATTACTAAAAAATCCTAACCTGTATGTGGTCAGGTCATCATTAAAAAGTATGTGATGTTGAATTTTATGAAAGATACTGTTGGTCTCTAGCTTTGAGTAAATGAAAAGCACAAATTAAAGTGATTTGTCTGATATCTAGACGCTAAAGGGCAAGACTGAGTATTCTTTAGATATTTGTTACATTTAGTAGATTAAAACTTGAAATGCAGTAATTTTAAAGCTGCATTTTGTGAAGCTAATTTATTATGTTTTCTTAGGTCCTGGATGTTCAATTCCTGTACCAGCTAACCAGTCATTTTGGACTCAAGAGGAATATTCTAACCCAAAGCTCCCCAGAGCCTCTCACAAAGCTGTGGTCAATGGAAATACAATGTGGATTGTTGGAGGATATATGTTTAACCACTCAGATTACAGCATGGTTCTAGCGTAAGTTGTTTTAACACTTTTGCAAAAAAATTAATTTTCCATTTTAAAAATTTATAAAATAAACAAAAGGAAAAGAAATCATCAGTAATTCTATTATCTGGTGGAAAATCTCTTAATATTTTGGTAATAGTATCCCAGACTTTTTTGACATATCCTTAGTTTTTGAAATTGGGAGCCACAAAGAATTTATTGTAATAAGCAATAATTCATCTTTTCCAGGTACTGTATCTTGTGCTTTGCTTTAGGTACATAGAGTAGGTTCTTTTTAATAGGGGATTACTTTATCTCTTCATTTAATTAAAAACGTATCTATAGAGCAAATGGTTTGAATTTATAGTTTACCGGTGGAAATTAGGCCACTGTGTAGTACTTCCCAGCCTTCAAGGTCTTTTTACTGGTCTCATGCCACTTATCCTGAAAGGAGGCTATATATTGTCATGGTGGAATTAGCTATGGAGATTGACTTTGGGGAGAAATTTATCAGCGCTTAACTCACTGCTGATTTTGTGCCCTCGCAGTGTTTTCTAGACATTTTCTATTAATGAAGGTTGTAAAAAACTAGCATCTGTTCTTTAAGGGGTTCTGCGAATATGGCAGTGGTGGCATAGTTTATGATTTCCCCCAAAATGTATCATTAAATACGCAGAACAGCTAGGAAACATGCAAAAAAACATGGGTTACATTGATAACAAGACTTGGTTAGAGGTATGCATCTACATCAAGCATGTCAAATTCAAAAGCTTACATGGGCCAAATAAACAAGGTTTAAGTTTATGTGGGCTGCAGAAAGACAGAAGCTTCAATTTTCATAGAAATGTAGCTTTATTTCTATAGAGACATGTTGAATATAAACGGCTGAAACAAATGAGTAATCATTAACATAAAATAATAGAACATCTTAATAAAAATTAATATTTTCTTGAACATTAATTTACCAGACACTGAATAACTGCACAAATTAATGACCGTAACACAAATAAACCTATATTTCTTGTTCTCCAAACTTAAAATATTTCCTGTTGCGCACACCAAACAAGTCAGTCCAAGACTAGTGATGTGGCAATCAGCTGCTAAAATATTCGCTGCCAGTATTAGTGGAGAGAAATGGTGCGCCTGCACGTAAGGCACATAAGGGAAATTAATGCAACACGATTATAGTCATCAGTCATTAGCGAACATTGTAGTTCATTATTAATAGTTATGTATAACAGGATATTGTAAAAATTAAGTTACGAAATTTTTATTAAAATGTTTCTTACACACTTATATTGGCTGGGCCCCAAAAATATTTGTTGTGGGCCCGCGCGTTTGACATGCTTGATCTATGCAGATGGGTAGAACTAAACCATTGACAGCTGCAAGACTTGTATGTATCAGTATCTGTGCATGAGTAAGCAAAGGGGAGCAATGAGTCCACTGGCTTGAATAGTAGGTGTAAATGTGTTTACAGAAGCCACAGTAGTCCTTCTCAGAAAACACCTTGCATGGTCAGAACTCCACAAAAGTCTTGCAGCGTTATGCAGTCAGTTTTGTAAAACCATTTTCCCGGATAGTTTAGAGTTATTTTTACCTAAAGTATAATAATGTGGGTGTTTTTTTTTTATATATAGTGAGAGTAAGATACATAGGGAAAGCAAGGGAGGGTGAGAAGGGGGAGACAGCCAGGGAGAGACAATGAGAATGATTGAGACTTCTAGGCTTCTGAGCAGAAAAGTAAACCACATAAAAGGGAGAGAAATCAGACTTGCCTCTGACTTCTTCATAGTAACATTTAATACCAGCATTCAAGGGAGCAGTATCTGCAAATTTCTGAAGAAAAGAATGGATGGCTCGAGAATATTATACCCAGCCAAGGTGTCATTGAGCTGTAAAGCTAGCAAGCAGATACTCTTCTTAAACATGAAAGAATTTAGAGAAAGGAATACATATGAGCTCAACTAGAAAAAGGCTACTTGACAGTGAAAGCCAATAAAAAATTAAAGATTCAAGAAAGAGAAGTTGTGGTAAGAGGACTGTAAAGAGATTGATCAAGCTAAAATATAGACCTAGTACTAAATAACTGTTGAATTATAGTTATAGAACGGAATATGAATGTTATAACCTGGATAATGTAACAATTATATAACAAAAATTGGGAGAAGAAATGGGAGGAAATGCGAGTGCTGTTTTCAATTTTCCAAACAGGGAGTGAGTGGATCTTGTCCAAAATTAAATTGTATGTAACTTAAAAATTAAAGTGAATTCAACCTCTAAATTTTTCATGTACTTAAAAATTGTAAAATATTCAAACAATACATAAAATTATAGGTGGTATTTATGTACTTTTCATATTTAATAACTGTCACCATTTAAATTTGTTTCAGATCATGTATATAATACTTAGGACAAAAGGAAAGGTTTAGAGGAAAATAAAGAATGCATTTACCACCCAGGTTAGGAAGTAAAACATTGCTAATATAGTTAAAGACCCCTGTATACCCTTCCAAAATCCCAGAGACAATTAGTACCCTGATTTTGTGTCATTTGTTCACATACATATTTTTATACTTGATATATAAACATATTTTAGAATTGATAAAGTTTCTGTTTTTAGTCTATAGAAATAGTATTCTGTAGTTTGCCTTTTTAGCTTTACATTGTTTTGAGAGTTATGTTGATAATAGGTTGCTTAAGTATATTTATTTTTGATTCTGTATAATTATTCTATTACATAGGTATACTATAATTTATTAATCTATTTTCTATTGGTGGATATTTGTTTCCTTTTTTGTTATTATTTTGTGATAAAACTTTCTTTTTAAAAAATTTATCTTTATTGTTGAAAGTATTTCAGATGTCCCTTTTTTCCTCCCATTTATTTCTTCCCTCCACCCCACACCGATCTCCTCCCCAGACCTTCACTACACTATTGTCTGTGTTCATGGGTTATGCATATATGCATGGAAGTTATTTGGTTAATGTCTATCCACTACCCACTTCCTTCTGAAATACATTAGTTTGTTGCATGCTTCAGTGTCTCTGGCTCAATTTTGTTCATCAGGTTTTTTTTGTTCATTAGAATCCACATACTGGGTAAGTGAGATCATGTGATACTTGTCTTTCTCTGGCTTATTTCACTTAGCATAATACTGTCCAGGTCCCTCCATGCTTTCTCAAAGGGTAATTGTTTACATATAATAATGGTTTCTATAATTTTAAAAACTTGGATTACTTAGGGAAACTTATAAAAAATAAACTTTTAACGTGTAACAATAGCATTTGTTTTTCCCTTTGATTTTTTCTATTAAATTATATTAAAATTAATAGTATTTATTAAACATATCATCCATAGCATGATCTCCTTTCTATAAATATGTATTGTTACTTGATTCTTCTATCTGTATATATGCATACAAAAATGTCTGGAATGATGTTTACTTAATGTTAATGATATTGATTTTTAGGTGATTAAATGTGGGATCATTTTTAAGGTTTTAACTCTATATTTTTGCATTTGTTACACCCTTTTCAAATTTTTATTTATTTATTTTAGAGAAACAGGAAGGAGAGGAAGGGAAGATTGAGAGAGGTAGGGACGGAGGGAGGGAGAGAATGAAGGACGGAAAGAAAAGAAAGAGAAAGGAAAGGAGGGAGGGAGAGAGGAAGGAAGGCAGGAAGGAAGGAGGAAGGGAGATAGATTTTTGACTGGGGATCGAACCATGGCATATTGGGATGATGCTTTAACCAACTGAGCAACCCAGCCAGGGCCATTGGTTACAGTCTTCATAATGAATTTGTTATTTTAATAAAAACCAGTAGAGTGGTATTTTTCTTGAAGACAAATTAAAAGTGACTATTCTAAGATATTTTATGTGACTAAGCTACAAAGCATGAGTATAGATAATTTATCTTTTTGGTAGTTTTTTGGTATAAAATGTATTTATACTATAATTGAAATACTATAATGATATAGCTTTCTTAAAATATGAATTTAAAAAATCAATTAGGTAAAGAAAAGGTAGTTAGGAATTTTCTCTTATTTAATTACTAGAGGCCTGGTACATGGATTTGGGCACCAGTGGTGTCCCTCAGCCTGGACTGTGCCCCCTCACAATTGGGACCCCTCAGGGGATGTCGGACTGCCAGTTTCGGAGGGCCAAAACCGGCAGTCTTACATCCCTTGAGGGGTATAGTAGCGCTTGAAGCGATCCACCTTCTGCTGCCACTCAGTAGCACTGCCATGGAGGCAGGAGAGGTTGAGCCCCGTGTCTGGTGCCTGTTGGCCCGTTGGTCAGCTAAGCAGAGCTCCCGCTGTGGGAGTTCACTGACCACCAGGGGGGCAGTTCCTGTGTTGAGCATCTGCCCCCTGGTGGTCAGTGCGCGTCATAGTAACCAGTCAACTGGTTGCTTAGGGTTTTTTATATGTATATAGATAGATCATTCCCCTTTGAGTACCTATCTTTAATTTCACATGATTAAATAAAAGATGGGTTATGGTAATAAAAGTTTAAGTTCCTTGAGTATAATGCCATCTTCAAGTTATTTAGACTGTGTGTAGAAGAGGTTTTCAGGAATCATTAGAAACTTCCAATAGATTTCTTTCCTTCTTGTCCCAGGACTATGCAGACCAGCCCTCCTTCCTGAGTTCTCATATGCATAGTAGGCTCAGATATGAGGTTTGTTCACCCAGGTGCCTATTCATATGCATGTCAGATGTAATGTGCATCTCCAAGCTAGATTCTATCACAAATAAAAGAGTACAAGATATTCTGTTCTGTCATTTGAGTGAAAATATGATCTGTTTGTTTTGTAGGTATGACCTTGCTTCTAGGGAGTGGCTTGCACTGAACCGTTCTGTGAACAATGTGGTTATTAGATATGGCCATTCCTTAGCATTATACAAGGTAAAATGTCTCCACTCTACTGAGCTAGAAACTCAACTCTTCCATAGTGACTTTTTCATATTAGTGGTTGAAAAGCTATTTAATGTTGTTTTCCCTCCCAACCTTTTGGTTGTGGTAAAATACATATCACATAAAATTTATCATCTTTGCCATTTTTAAGTATGAATTTCAGTGTTATTAAATACATTCATAATGTACAACCATCATCACCATCCATCTCTGTAACTTCATCTAAGAAAACTGAAACTTATGCCCATTAAACACTTAAGTTCTCATTTCTTCCTCCCCTAGCCCCTGATAAGTACCATTCTGCTTTTTCGTCTCTATGATTTTGACTTCAGTGTCGTTTTTTTAACTGGGGGAAATCTTTCTATTTGGAAAGGTTTATATATATACTAGTATATTAAAATATGTTTTTTATTGATTTCAGAGAGGAAAGGAGAGAGAGAGAGATAGGAACATCAGTGATGAGAGAGAATCATTGATTGGCTGCCTCCTGCACACCCCCTATTGGGGATAGAGCCTGCAACCTAGGCATATGCCCTTGCCTGGAATCAAACCTGGGACCCTTCAGTCCACAGGCCTAAGCTCTATCCACTGAGCCAGACTGGCTAGGGCTGGAGGGGTTTATAATTGGCTAATATACAAGTGGAAGTTAAAGTTGAAACAAATTTAATACGAGAAATTTCAATGGATTAAAATTGTACTAGGATATTATGATTGTGGTACCAGATGGTTAAAAATTAATATAATATTGATTAGTGTTTATGTTCCTTATATTAGCAAGGTTAGCCAAGAATAGCCACATTGCAATACAACTAAGTAATCATTTTCATTTCCTTGTTTTTGTGGTTTATGGTAGGATGAGGGAACTTTTCAACTTTATTTTTCCAGTCATTTTATCACCGTAAAAGGTTTTGCTTGAGAAAGTCCAAGAAAAGTGGCAAATTAGAGATATAGAAACGATTTATTTCATTTTGTTTCTTTTGCCATCTTTTTCCTAGACATTCACTGAAAGCGGCATTTCACTAACACTTTTTAAGCTAAGAATAATATTGAGGTTTTGAACTGCTCTTTTTCTGTTCTCAGATTTAATCCTTTCGATGTTTTTAGAATTTTGTTCGCATTTTCCCCCCAGGATAAAATTTACATGTATGGAGGGAAAATTGATTCAACGGGGAATGTGACCAATGAGCTGAGGGTGTTTCATATTCACAATGAATCGTGGGTGTTGTTGGCTCCGAAAGCCAAGGAGCAGTATGCAGTGGTTGGGCACTCAGCACACATCGTCACACTGAAGACGGGCCGGGTGGTCATGCTGGTCATCTTCGGCCACTGCCCTCTCTATGGGTATATAAGCAATGTACAGGAATATGACTTGGGTAGGTATATTTTTCCAGTGATTTTTTTTGAATGTCAAATTTAAAACTTCAATTATTACGGCTTTTTAACAAGATTCAACCTAACCTTGGCCTAGTACTTTATCTTGAAATGCAGTTAACATCGATGTATTACTAGTGAAATTCAGATTATGGTGCTGCTATGTAGTATACAGTATATTTGTTACCATCAGTTGGGCACAGAGTCAAAGACGGTGCTAAATGCTTTAGGAACTGAAAATAAAATAAATTAATTAATAAAAATGATTCAAAACAACACATTCTGAAGAAAAAACATATTTGGCTAGCTCTTTAGAGATTGGTTTAGGGGAGTGTTATTTCCTCTTATTATAAAAATCTTTCCTTTGGTTAAATTTTATTTTATCTGTTGTGTTGGAATAGGAGTACCAGCTATAATTTATATTTTGAGAAAGCAGACCCATAAAGTATATCTGTGTATTGACATGGGGAATTAAGTGTTCAATTGAGGGAACTCTGATTCTTAAATTTAATGTAATTCTTTTCCAGTATGGCATATTAGAACATTAAAACATTTAACAAATTGAAGTTTGGCACCTGACTTTATTAGTTTTATGTGGCCTTCCTTTAAAAATAAAATGATAAAAAAAATTATATGTATCAGGTCTCCCAGAATCTCTTCTCTTGTCCTAAGCCAGTGGTCAGCAAACTGCGGCTTGTGAGCCACACATGGCTCTTTGGCCCCTTGAATATGGCTCTTCCACAAAATATCACGTGCGGGCGCGCATGTACAGTGCGATTGAAACTTCGTGGCCCGTGTGCACAAGTCAGTTTTCGGAAAGGAGATGAAACAAGTATACAAGATGATTGTGGATGGGAGAGTTGGAAGGGGTCGACCTCAGCGAATGTACCTCAATCAGATTGAGGACGTTTTTAGCAAAGGCCAGCTTAGGAATATCCTAATTAAGTTAATAACAATGTACCTACCTATATAGTTTAAGTTTAAAAAATTTGGCTCTCAAAAGAAATTTCAATCATGCTGTTGATATTTGGCTCTGTTGTCTAATGAGTTTGCCGACCACTGTCCTAAGCTATTTGGTAGTTTTAAGTATTAGAGAAGAGGAGCCTGTAACATTTGCCTTTAACTGTTTTCCAATTTCAGATAAGAATACGTGGAGTATATTAAATACCCAGGGTGCCCTTGTCCAAGGGGGTTATGGCCATAGCAGTGTCTATGACCACAGGACCAGAGCAGTCTATGTTCATGGAGGCTACAAGGCTTTCAGCGCCAATAAATACCGGCTCGCAGATGATCTCTACAGATACGATGTGGATACCCAGATGTGGTAGGTGCTTTTTCTTGAGCTTTCGTTTTAAGGTGTGAATTCTGACAATTTCTGGGAAAATGTGCTATATGTTTTTTTAAAACATATTTTTATTGATTTCAGAGAGGAAGGGAGAGGGAGAGAGATAGAAACATCAGTGATGAGAGAGAATCATTGATCGGCTGCCTCTTGCTCGCCCCCTACTGGGAATCGAGCCTGCAACCCAGGCATGTGCCCTTGACTGAAATCAAACCCAGGACCCTTCAGTCTGCAGGCCAATGCTCTATCCACTGAGCCAAACCAGCTGGGGCAATGTGCTGTGTTTTCTTCTTTAGACCTAGCAGGTAATTCTCTTATGTGTTGCAAAGAAATTGGGAAATAAGCAAAAGGTAATAAAGTAGCTAGTATTTATTTTGTTGCATTATTCTATAATCTTATAGTAGGTTGAGCAAGAAAATGCTTGGTATATTTTGAATAGTTTTCAGTTTTCAGACACTCAGTACCACTTCCTTTTCACTGTCTCTAAAAATCATTGGCAAAAATATCTTTGGGTGAGGATTAACAAAAAAATAACAAACAAAAGGTTATGTTTGCATTAGTGAATAGGTGATAAGTATTGTAAAAAACTAAACTTGTATTTATTATTTTTAAATCTCAAAAGGACCATTCTTAAGGACAGCCGATTTTTCCGTTACTTGCACACAGCTGTGATAGTGAGTGGAACCATGCTGGTGTTTGGAGGAAACACACACAATGACACATCCATGAGCCATGGCGCCAAATGCTTTTCTTCAGATTTCATGGCTTATGACATTGGTAAGTTTCCCCAAAATTCTTTATCTTCAAGATTCTTTTTTGTCTGTAATTAACATTTTAAAGGAAATGGAAAATATCGCTAGTTAAAAATGGTCAGGCCAAAACAAAACAAAAAAATGGTCAGGCCATTTGAAAGAGGCCTGAACAGTATTTTTATGTTAATTTGACTAAGGTTACATCTATTAAAAAACATGACTTCTATATTAAATTCTTTTTGAAATTACTTCTTTAATTAGTTGAATGTTAATTTTTGAGGCTGGGTTGGGATAACTGGGCTCTCTGTGCTACAGATGTAGTATCATGTAGATGTTGATCACCAGCATTGTGTTAAGTTGGTTCCCTGGATACCAATTTCACATTCTTTTAAAAATTCTAGTGTGGTAATACATTATTCCAGAAGAGGGCAGTATTTATTCATGCAGAATAAATGCTAGCCATTCTTTTGTATAAATATCATCATTGGATGTTCGTTTCTGACCCAGCCACAGAGCTTCTACATTGCCCTTGGCCTCATAGCGTGGGAGGGAGAGAACTGAGTATACAATAGAATTGCAGTTCAGGGTGTTACTTGCTCTAAGACGAATGTATGAGAGTACCTATGAACATTCCTAACACAGGGGAAAGGATTATAGTTGGGGAAAGCCTTTTTGAGAAGGGGCCCTGTAGGCTAGGTCCTGAGGAACACTGGAAAATCAGCTAAGTGAAGTTAGGTGGACTTATCAGGTGGAGGCAAAAAGGGACCATGCCATACTTGAGGCCTGTATTATAGCTGCACATAGGAGAGGAATGGCTTCAACTGAACTAGAGACCCAAGCAGCTTTCAGACTCTGGTCAGATCGTGAAAGACCTGTGATGTCATGATGAGGAGTTTAGGCTTTTTGAAGAATCTTACAGAGGAGGTGACAGAATCGTATTTGTGTTTTAGGAAGATCTCTTTGTGGCATGTGATGAATAGTTGGAAAGGGGCAAGATGGTAGTTCTAAGGCTGAAGTCTTGAGGGTTTGAACTAAGGCTGTGAAAGTGGCAATGAGGATAAAGAAATAGATGGTTTTGAGAACTCCTGGGAACTTGAGGATTACCTGGGGTGTATTTTGAGAGAGATGAAAGCATCTTGATTCCCAGGTATCTAGTGTGAGCCAGGGTAGATGGTGCTTTTTACAAGGCTGGAAATAGAAGTACCCGATGGGGTCTGGGAGAAGGTGAGTAAGATGAGTTTGGGAGAAGGTTCAGCTGGAGATGACTCTGGGATTGGAGCAATGCCAAGATTAGTGGGAAGCTCCAGGATAAAATTCTATAGGGGACATATGTCATCAGGGATGAGCAAAGAGCCAGAGGACAGATAGATGGATAAAGAAGTCAGAAACAGCATGCAGACTGGGAAAGCATGTCAGAGGAGTAGGAGGAAAGTGCGGCATGATTGGCATCCTGTGAGGGAGCTGTTACCAATGGCTGCAGAGGGATTAAAATAAGTCCTGGGGAGTCTTTCAGATTTAGCAACAGAGGTTATTACTAGAGGCCCGCTGCGTGGATTTGTGCACCGATGGGGTCCCTCGGCGTAGCCTGCGGAGATTGGGCTGAAACTGGCAGTCCAACGCCACCTGCTGCTCCTGCCTTCTGCTCATCCAGGCCCTGCTGGGCCTGCTGCCGCTGCTCAGTAGGCTCACTGCTGCTCCGCTGAGGTCTCTGGGCTGCTGCGGTCAGCCATGAGCCCTGCGTCTGGTGCCCATCAGTCAGCTGAGCAGCATTCTTGCTGTGGGAGTGCATTGACAACCTGGAGGCAGCTCTGAGTGTCTGTGCTGAGTGTCTGCCCCCTGGTAGTCAGTGCGCATCGTAGCGACCAGTTGACTGGTCATTTGGTTGTTCGGCTACTTAGGCTTTTATATATATAGATAGATTCTTTAGACATGGATGAGTAATCCAGATTGCAGGAGGCTAAAAAATAACATAAGGTGAGATCTACACAGTGAATATTGACTATTTTAATTTTAAAAAAATTATCTGTGGGGTAGAAGGGGAGAGTTGAGTACCTTCTTGGGCATCTTTATTTATTTTTAATTTTTAAAAAAATACCTTTTTATTATTGATTTTAGAGAGAGAGGAAGGGAAAGGTGATGGAGAGAGAAACATTGATGTGAGAGGGTAACATCTACTGGCTGCCTCCCACATGCCGTGACCAGGAATTGAATCTGTAGCCCCTCAGTACACAGGACACCAATCAACCAACTGAGCTGCACTGGTTAGGGTTTGGCATATTTAAATGCTGTGATGAAAGCCAGTGCACTAAGAAGAAGGGTCTTTGCCACACTGTGGTTTTAGGGAAGGAAGCAAGGTGGGCAGACAGGAAGCTTCTCTTCTCCATGTGAGGAAGACCACAGAGTCTGGGCTGGTAGGAGAAGAAAATGAAAGCTGTTGTTGTCAAGGTTGAATAAATGTCTAGATTGAGTAGAAGAACCTTTGCATAGTGAGTGTGAATGTCTGAGTATTTCAGAAGCAGACAGTACGTGTGAGTTTGGTGTGATTTACCAGCAAGAAAAGTTGATAGCATGGATCAGAACAAAGGAAAATTAGTAGATCTAAGAGATCTAGGGAAGGACTTTTATTTTATTTTATTTTATTTTTCTCACCTGAGTATATATTTTTTATTGATTTTAGAGAGAGGAAGAGAGAGAGAGAGAAATATTGATGTGAGAGAGAAACATTGATCGGTTTACCTCCTGTACCTGCCCTGACCAGGGATCATTGAACCCACATCCCAGGTATGTGCCCTGACCAAGAATTGAACCCACTACCTTTTGGTGGACAGGACGTGCACCAACCTATTGAGCAATACCAGCCAGGACTCTACAAAAGGACTTTTAAAAATTTAAAGAAAGTTTGAATTTTTTTTTAAGTTTTAATTTTCCACCTGTATTTTCCTATTTTAGCTACTGTTTGGGCAAGTCAATATAGAGTAGAAAATAATTATGGAACCCATATGTTTTACTTACATAAGTTCTGAAAAATTTGCTTAAGTTAAAAAACATTCTAGTGAGTGAAATTGATAGGCAACAGAGTGAGTGGTGTGGGTGTCAGGGATGTTGGATTCGCTAATTAGAATTGCCATGTGGTCCTGCCTTTCTTCCATACCTTGCTATTATGCTGCTGCTGCATTTTACCTCAGAAAAGAAGGTATGACTCAGAAAAAGCAAGAGAAACATTTTATGTGATTATTTTTGTACAGTCTTCTTCCCAGAGAAAATGCCAGTTCCTATTGATGATGAATGGCAGTCTCATTTGAAATGTGTTTTCTTGCTCCTAGCTTGTGACCGCTGGTCAGTGCTTCCCAGACCTGATCTGCACCATGATGTCAACAGATTTGGCCACTCAGCAGTCCTACACAACAGGTAATTGGAAAAGAAGTGCTTGCTCCTTTTTTCTTGGGTTTAAAATGAAAATGAAGTACCGTATTTGCCGGCGTATAAGACAACCCCCTAACATTTCCACTCAGAATACAGAGTTTGTTATATACTCGCCGTATAAGACTACCCCCTCTTCCGCACACCTTCCACACACCAAATAAAAGGTAAAACAATATCAGATTTGATTTTAACATTTTAATTTATATTCAAATGCTTATGACATGCAGGAAAACTGTCACAAGGCTGTATGTAATCAAACATATACATAAAACAGTGCAAGTTTATTACCGGTAAACATACCGGTAATTCACTAAAGAAAACACACTCTATAGACTGGTACCGTAGATGCTTCTCAGGAACACAGGCAAGCAGCCCACAACCTAGAGGGACTGTCAATGATAGAAGAAAGATAACAAATAGAGGTAGAGAGCAAGTGCCGGGCAAGTCCCTAGCAAGGACCTCACTAGTGCGCAAGTGCGAGCTCTTCAACATTCTAACAGGCACCATGATAGCGCAAAATCGCGAATCTTCAATGCATATGTAAAGAAATATACGGTAACCCGAATTTACCACACTCGCAAAATCGCACACAGCCAACCATACACCCAGTATGGTATCGCGATTCGCGATTTTGCGCTATCATACCGGGTGTATGGTCGGCTGTGTGCGATTTTGCGAGTGTGGTAAAATCGCATAACAGCAAAATCGCATAACAGCCGAGCATACACCCAGCAGCGCTGCTGATGCCTGAACGGTATGTGGAATGAAGTGGGTGGGCATCGGGAGGCCACTATGGCACGGGGCAAGCACTATGGGCAGTCTATCTGAAGTGTACCTGGCGTATAAGACGACCCCCCACTTGGAGGCATATTTTTCAGGGCCAAAAAATCGTCTTATACGCCGGCAAATACGGTAAAATACGAAGAAATGGAATAAGGTTTGCATATTATTCTTAGCATTTTCCCACCTTGTTCGTTTTTCACAGGATTATGTAGGCTTGAATTTCCTGATTTATATTTAAAATACTTGATGTGCATTTGAATTTCTTTTAATGCTGTGTTTGTTGATATGTTTTTTTGTTAGCATGCAGGAGTATGCTATGTTTGATGTTGTCTGAATGCATGGGACCACAAAAGTTATGTGTAATTACTGTCTTATGCTCTCTGTCATTTGCTACTGTTCATGGAACTTAGATCTGAATGGTAAGGAGATTTGAAAAAAAGAGAGGGCAAGTCAGATAGGAGAATCAGATAGGGGAACAGAGATGGGGAAATTGTGAAGCTTCATATAGAACAAGTTTATAGTTCCTAATAATGTGAAGTCTACATTGCATTGGTCAAAATGCCTGGTCCAAACTAACAGCACTCTTTATCAGCCTTCCGTCGAGAAGGCTCTGCAATATAAGGGCAATTCAGAGTGGCCTTTCCATTGTTCCTTACACTGTATTTTAAAGATTTTTTATTTGTTAAACAGTCTAATCATGTTAATTTTTCTCATTTTGTTCCTGCTGTTATTACTGTTGTTTACTTCACCTTTTATAATTTTAGGCCACACCCTGGCTGGTGTGATTCAGTTGATTCGAATATTGTCCCATATGCCAAAAGATCGTGGGTTCCATTACTGATCAGGACACATACCTAGGTTGTGGGTTCAATCCCCACGTGCATGCAGAAGGCAACCAATCGATGTTTCTCTCTCTCTCTCTCTCTCTCTCTCTCTCTAAAAAAAAAAAAGAGACACTTGGTTATAATGTGTTTAAGTATGGATCTCTTTTGTGTCAATCTTGGAGTTTGTTGAGCTTTATGGGTGTATAGATTAGTCATTTTACTAAAATTTGTGGAAGTTTTCATCCATTATTTATTTATTTATTTTTATTGATTTCAGAGAGGAAGGGAGAGGGAGAGAGAGATAGAAACATCAATGCTGAGAGAGAATCATTGATCAGCTGCCTCCTGCACACACCCTGCTGGGGAGTGAGCCTGCAACCTGGGCATGTGCCCTTGACTGGAATAGAACCTGGGGCCCTTCAGTCCACAGGCCTATGTTCTATCTACTGAGCCAAATCGGCTAGGGCGAGACAGTTTTGATTGATTGTTTTGTTTCCTCTGTATGGGTCACATTTTTTGTTTCTTTGCATAGCTTGTAATATTTGGTTGAAAACTAAACATTTTTGGTAATAGGTTGTAGCAAATACGGATTCTCATTCCCCCACCATCACCACCAACTGTTGTTGTTTTTGTTGTTTGCTTAGTGGCTTGCCTAGACTAATTCTGTGGAGACTGTTTGCTGATTTTTCTAGTTGTTTTTTCTTGTATTTATTTTTCAACCTGACTTGTTAGGAATTGCCTCTAGGTCATTATTGTTTAGTAATCAGCCAATGGTTTTGCTTAAACAGTTTAAGCTAGTAAGGCTTATATTACACTCTTTGCTGATGGATCTGTTAAAAAATAGCTAGGGCCTTCTCCATTACCTTCTGAGCTGCTTGCAGCCTTGTTCACACATAGCATTCCAAACCACCAGAGACTCTCACCACCATGTTTCCAGAGGTGAGTTGGGCTTGACTTAAAAGGCTGAAAATCTTGACACTGGACCCAAGAAGGACTTTCACTTCTGGCATCAGCCAATGAAGTCTCCCATTGAAAGGCAACTGAAAAGTATACAGTAAGGATTTAACAAGATAATGAAGAAATACTGAGCAGAACATAAGAGATGAGTCATCCGGCCGGTGTGGCTCAGTGGTTGAGCATCAACCTAGGAACCAGGAGGTCGGGGTTCTATTCCCAGTCAGAGCACAGGTCTGGATTGTGGGCTCGTTCCCCAGTGTGGGCAATGCAGGAGGCAGCCGATCAATGATTCTCTCTCAGCATTGATGTTTCTATCTCTCTCTCTTCCTTCCTCTCTGAAATCAATAAAAATATTTAAAAAGAAAAAGAAAATAAGAGATGAATAGAGTCCAGAGAGATAAATTGAGCTGCTTTAGCCTGTGGGAGTTTCCTTATCCAGTTGAAGCAGCTGAGAGGTGTAGCTGAGCTTTCTACTGACTCTTAGAGGCTGAGGAGCAGAAACCAGAGATTTCTTTATACATAGTACATGTCAACTAGAAATTTCTGGAAAAATGTGTAAATGAATAGAATGGTTTGGATTCTGTTCTTTTTAGAAACAGAGACTATGAATGATCCTATTAGATTTTTTTTTTACCCTTAGACTAAGAACAAATTAAACTCACTATTACATGTTAATATGCAAGAGGTAATAGACCCAATTTTAATATTAGTGCTAGCAATTTAATGTAGTCTTGAAATAGAAAAAGAGATTTTAGGTAAAATGCAGATAAATCATGTACTGTGGGTCCCCCCCCCCAAAAAAAAAAGTTAGAACTTTTTATCATGGAAATTTGAAACCCTAACCCATTCCAGACTATTTTGAAGCTCCCTGACATATACTTTCATCAGAATATAGTTGATTATCATTTTTGGTGGTAAATTATATTCTATAAAGTCACCACAAACACTGGGTTAGAGAATATTGAATTTTCACACCGAGGGAAATGCAGGGTTAAGTTCTTACAAGTCTCTTGCATTTTCATCAACTAATCAATTTGTAATCTTGTTTTATGTATGTTTCTGTTTAATGACACACCTTATTTAATGTGTTGTTGATTCATTAACATTGAGTTCATAGTCAACAGCACTATGACTCATGCTTGAATGAAGCTCATCTAATGCATGTATTTTCTCTATAAGCCACATCACTGGATAGCACTTCAATACTATGAAGTGCTTTGGGGCCATTTAAAACAGCAGAATCACCAACATAAAGCACAAACATGCAAAAAACACATGACAGCCCTAGCCGGTTTGGCTCATGGGTAGAGTGTGGGCCTGCGGACTAAAGGGTCCCAGGTTCAATTCCAGCCAAGGGCACATGCCTGGGTTGCAGGCCCAATCCTCCTTAGTAGGGGGCGTGCAGGAGGCAGCCAATCAATAATTCTCATCATTGATGTTTCTGTCTCTCTATCCTTCTCCCTTTCTCTCTGAAATCAATCTATATATATAAAAGGCTAGTATGCAAAGTGTCCCGTCAGGAGTTCGACCGGGAGACCGGGAGTTCAATTGCTTGCTATGATGTGTGCTGATCACCAGGGGGTGGCGTGGAACATGGCGGGCAACCAGTGGTGGTGGCCGGGCGCTGAGGGAGCGAGGGAAGGAGGAGGCGGGGAGGTGAGGAACCTGATCAGCTCTGATTACTGGCCAGGCCTAGGGACCCTACCCATGCACAAATTTTGTGCTCTGGGCATCTAGTAAAAATATATTAAAAACCAAAACAAAACACATGACACTAAATAAACTATCAAAAGGACACTTGTGTATAGTATGAGAACTAAAACAGGAAAAGAGCATCATCTTGTTTGCCCTCACCTGGAAATGTACATGTTGGACAACTCAAATTTTTCTGTGTATGTATGTCTGCAAGTGACTGCAAATCTGCAAGTAGTGGTTTTGGAGTCAGAAATAAATTTTAGCAACTGGGTATATTCATAAATATGGAATCTACAAATAATGAGGATTGATTTGGTATCTTTTAAAGATAAAGACTTTCTAAAAACATACAACCACAATATAATTATCACACTTTAAAAAATGAATAGTAATTTACTACCACTCATTGTTCATATTTCCCAATTGTCTCATAAATTTTATTTTCTAATTTTATTATTTTTGAAATTGTTTTTTATTTTTCAAATACATTTGATATACAGTATTATATTAGTTTCAGGTGTATACACCAATGATTAAAACTTTATATAACTTACTAAGTGGTCATCCCTATAAATCTCATACCTATCTGACACCATACATAGTTATTAGAATATTATTGATATATTTCTTATTATTGATATATTTCTTATGCCATACAACCCCATGACTATTCTGTAACAACCAATTCGTACTTCTTAATCCCTTCACCTTTTTCACCCATCTTCCTTAACTCCCCACCCATCTGGCAACCATCGAAATATTCTCTTTATCTCTGAGTCTGTTTCTATTCTGCTTGTTTGTTTATTTTGTTTTTTTAGATTCAATTGTTAATAGATATGTATTGCCATTTTATTGTTCTTTTTTCTTTTTCTCTTCTTAAAGAAAACTTTTTAACATTTCATATAATACTGGTGGTGATGAACTCCTTTAGCTTATTCTTGTCTGGGAGGCTCTTTATCTGTCCTTCGATTCTAAATGATAGCTTTGCTGGGTTGAATAATCTTGATTGTATGTAGGTCCTTGATTTTCATCACTTTGAATATTTCTTGCCACTCCCTTCTGGCCTACAAAGTTTCTGTTAAGAGAATCAGCTGACAGTTTTATAAGAGCTCCCTTATAGGTAACTAACTGCTTTTTTCTCATTGCTTTTAAGATTCTCTCTCTTTTTTTTAATCTTTGGCATTTTAATTATGTGTCTTGCTATGTGCCTATATGGGTTCATCTTGTTTGGGACTCTTGTGCTTCTAGGACTTGTATGTTTTTTTCCTTTACCAGGTTAGGGAAGTTTTCTGTCATTATTTTTTCAAATAGTTTTTCAATTTCTTGCTTACTCTCTCTTCCCCTTCTGGCACCCCCATGATGCAGATGTTGGTACACTTGAAGTTTTCCTAGAGGCTCCTTACACTATCTTCATTTTTTTTGGATACTTTTTTCTTTTTGCTGTTTTGATTGGGTCTTTTTTGCTTCCTTATATTCCAAATTGCTGCATTGATTCTCAACTTAATCTACTCTACTGTTCTTTCCCTTAAAATTATTCTTCATATCACTTAGTGTATCCTTCATTTTTGATTGGTTCTTCTTTATGGTTTCTATTTCCTTTTTCATGCTGTTGAAGTTCTAAGTTCCTTGAGCATCCTTATAATCATTGCTTTGAATTATATATCTAGTAGTTTGCTTATGTTCATTTCTTTTAGTTCTTTTTTGGAGACTTCTCCTGTTCTTTCATTTGGGACCTCTTTCTTTGTTTCCACATCTTGGCTGCTTCCATATGTTTGTTTTTATGTATTAGGTAGAGCTGCTAGGTCTCTCGGACATGGTAGAGTGACCTTATGCAGTAGGTGTCCTGTAGAGCCCAGTGGCACAGCCTCCTCAGTCACCTAAGCGAGGCTCTCCAGGTGCACCCCTGTGTGGGCACTGATCTGTTGTAATTGAGCCTTGATTGCTATTGGTGTCACTGGGAGGGATTGACCCCCAGGCCAATCAGCTGTTAGGACCAGCTGTGATGACAGCAGAGGAGCTGCTATGCAGGAGTTCACCCTATGGAACAAGAATTGCTTTAGTGGGGCTTTGTCACTTACCGAGTCCACCCCTTGAGTGTGTTGCTCATGGAGGTGGTAGGGTTGTAATCTGGCATGGTCTGAAGCTTTTCCCTAGGTGCACTGACTCTGGTGACCCCCGGGTGGTACAAGGTCAGCCACTGCCTGTGCCCTGCCTGGAGCCACTTCGCATGAGCTACAGAGCAATGTACAGATGGCTGCTCCTTGTACTGGGCTTGGAGGTGCCCATGAGAGGCCAAACTGCAAACCAAGGCCAGCTGCTGCTAATGCCAGGCCTGGGGCCAATTAGCAAGAGATACAGAGTACACAGAGGTCAGATGCTGCTTGTTTGAGAGATTTTAGGAAAGTCCAAAGAATGAGGTAAGAAAGGCCATTTGTATGTAAAAGCCACTGGAAACATCTTGGGTTGGCCCACAAGTTGGGTGTGACGGAATCTCAGGGAATCACTAGGGCCGGTGACCAGTGTGTAGGGCTGAGTCTCAGGAAAGGAACAAAGGCCTCTGCCAGCACTGTAGTCTGGCAGAAAGTTGCCCCTCTCCCCCATTCCCCAGCTCTCATCATGATGTAGACATTTCAGTTCTTCCTTATAAGTCCCTGGTTCCTTTTAAGCTGCTGCCCTAGTATTAGAACTCAGAGGGTGTGAGTCTGAGTAAGTCCTTGCACAGATCTTTTAAGAGGAACTACCTGGGACTCCAGCAGCCCTCTATCTCACTCAGCCACAATCCCTGCTGCTTTCTATAGCCAGAAGTTATGGAGACTTTTCTTCCTGACTCTGGAACTGGGAGGCCTGGTGTGGTCCAGGACTCCTCGCTCCTCAGAGATGACCTCTGCAGTTGAGATAGCCCTCCAATTTTAAAATGCCACATGGGTGTGGGCCTGGCTTGTTCCACGACTCTGCCCTTCCTCCCAGTCTCAATGTGGCTTCTTTAAATCCCTAGTTGTAGGACTTCAATTCAGTTAGATTTCAGGTGGTTCTGAATGATGATTGTTCTGTAGTTATGATTTTGATGTGGTTGTGAGAAGATTTGAGTACCTCATTTACCTACGCTGTCATCTTGACCAGAAGTTCTTGCCTCATAATTTTTAAAAATTTAATTTGTTTAAATGAAGGTCCAAATAAGATCCATATATTACAATTTGATGAAATGTATTTTAAGTTTCTGTTGATATATAGTCTCCCTGTTCATCATATCCCCCCTTATTTGTTAAAAATAAACTGGGTTGGCCCTAGCTGGTTTGGCTCAGTGGATAGAGCCACAGAAGGGTCTTGGATTTGATTTCAGTCAAGGGCATATGCTTGGGTTGCAGGCTCCAGGCCCTAATAGAGGGTGTGCAGGAAGCAGCCAATCAATGATTCTCTCTCATATTGATGTTTCTATCTCTCTCTTTCTCTCTGAAATCAATAAAAAATATATTAAAAAAATAAACTGGGTTATCATGTAGAGTTTCCTGTATTCTAGGTTTTGATTATTGCACCCCCATGTTTTCAAAAAATATATTGGACTCTCTCTTGAAATTCTTGCAGATTATTCAGTCAGATTCACTTCAGTATTTTGGCAAGATGACTGCATAGGGTTGATTTTTCCCCCCCTTGATTTACCAATTTTCAAAATGATGAACTGATTTTTTAGCATTCTACAAAGTTGACAAATGAGTTTCTTTGGAGGAGAAGGTGGCATATATCATTAAGAACTTACAGATTTAAAAGTATTTAATATGTTTTAATCCATTTTAGTTTTTATTCTTATTAAATTTCAAATATTTCCCAATTTTGGCCAGCAAGCATCTCTTCATGTTAGCTCCTGAGTCTTTTTGGTACACCTATAGTCTTCCTTTTTGTCTGGCGTGCCAAGGTCTTCTAGGCTCATCACAAACTTTTTTTGCCCCAGACATGAAATTAGATTTTTTCCTAAAGAGTCATAAATTTTTTTTGAGGGGTGGGGAAAAGACCACACCCCTTAAAAAAATACCACAATGTAAGTGCTGCTCTTCTCTTTTGCTACTAGGTTGGTCATTGTTTCTAAGACTGTTAAGATAAATTAAAGAGAAACTTTGTTGTTGTTTTGAGGAGAAAAATGAATTTGTGTGTGTTTTTGAGCTCTTTCTTCCCTCAATAAATAAGTGGTTGCACACTTCTATATACTTTTCTCTGCATTTCCTTATTTCCTCCCTTCCTTCCTTCCTGCCTTCCTTCCTGCCTTCCTTCCTTCCTTCCTTCCTTCCTTCCTTTAGCATTTCCTTTTTTAAAATTCACATAACAGTATATCTTGGAGATTGCTCTATAGCGGTATGTAGACATCCTCCTGATTCCTTTTTACAGCTACCTACTATTTCACTGTGTGGATGCACCACAGTTTATACATCACATCCCCAGACGATGGACATTTTGGGTTGTTTGTGTGTTTGCTATTGTCATTATTGCTTTAGTGAATAGCCTCATGTGCATTTCTTTTTTTAATTTTGCTTTTATATCTTTGTGATAGACTTCTGGGAATGTGATTTCAGGTTCAAAAGATAAATACAGAGTTTTGTTAGATTTTGCCAAATTTCCCTTTTTAGGCTCGTCCTATTTGCATGCCTAGCAGCCAAGTATGAGAGTGCTTGTTTCCCTACTGCCTCAGTCTTTGTCAGACTTTTGTCTTTTTAGGGGAGAGATGCTTTCTCATTGTAATTTTAATTTGCATTTTTCTTATAATTGAAGTTAATCATCTTTTCATATGCTTGAGGCCATTTACATTTTTCCCTTGCAAACTGGCTGAAGCTGTCTCTATATTAGGAATATTCTTTTCCTATAACAGCTTGTAAATAATTTTTCACAGTGTATCATTTGTCTTTTATTTTGCTTATAGCTGTATTTCCTATGCAAAATTCTTTTATTTATATAATCAATTTTTCAGTATTTTTTTGTTGTTGTTGCCTTCTGGATTTTAAGTCATGGGTGTTGTTATAGAATAGCTCACCTGTATTGTCTTCTAACCTCTAAAGTGCATGTATGGGTTCGTTTTTGGGTTTTTTTTCCAAGTGGTTCTCTGGTCCATTTGGAATTTATCCTGAGTCCATAGAGAAGTTGTATATTTTTCCATGTTTATTTTGTTATCTCCATACCATTTACTGGAAAGTCCACACTAATTTAAGATGCCACTTTTACTGTGTACTGAATTTTCATGTGCATTTTTATCTGTTTCTTACTGGTTTATGAATCATTATACAATTTTAATTAAGGAGACTTTATGCTTTTAAAATTATATATATTTTTAATATTTAAGAACATGCAGATACACAATTATGTGTTTAACTCTAAAAGACATTTGCTTGCCCTGACAGTAAAATATTCCAGGGAATTATGGTTAAAAGTCACTATGTTATCATGAGAACTTTTTAATATAGTTATGTAAAGAGTAGGTTGATTATTGGAATTATTCTGGGTAGGACAGGCTAGGATGAAATTGAGAGGGAAAAGTATGAGAAAGATATAAGAATATTTTTTGAGATCCTGAAAAAAAATAATTTCTTACAGAACTATTGATATGTAAGGTTTGTCTGAAGATTGTAAATAGTTTATCATGACTTTGTTTACTTAAGGGTTTAGTAAACTACTCTCCCTTTTTTGTTTTCCCTTTTAGCTCCATGTATGTGTTTGGTGGCTTCAATAGTCTCCTCCTCAGTGACATCCTGGTATTTACCTCGGAACGGTGTGAAGCACACCAGAGTGAAGCTGCTTGTCTAGCAGCAGGACCTGGCATCCGGTGTGTGTGGGACACAGGGTCATCTCAGTGTATTTCCTGGGAGTTAGCAACAGAAGCACAAGAAGAAAAGTTAAAATCAGAATGTTTTTCCAAAAGAAGTATGTTTTTTTTTCTTCTTAAAATTAAATTAATTTGAGTTCTCCTTTTATCTGAATCATGAAGGCACTTAGCATATGTATACTTTTTAGATTCATATTATTATCCAAAACTATTCAGTAATAACTTATGCAAAGGCTTTATGAAAAATTGGTTTGTGGCTCCTACAACCTATCTGCAAATCATAGAGACAAAAACCTCCTTGGCTTTGCATAGACTTTGTATACTAGTTCCAGAAGCCAGCTGCAATTGGTTTGGGGAAATGCAATCCAATGATATCTTTTGTGTTGATGGAAATGTTCTATATCTGCACTGTCTCAATATGGTAGCTTCTAGTGACATGTGGCTATCAAATACTTTGAAATGAGACTGGTATGACCAAAGAACTGAAATTTTAATTTTAATTAATGTAAATTAAAAGTTACATGTGACCCTAGCCAGTTTGGCTCAGGGGATAGAGCGTTGGTCTACGGAATGAAAGGAGGTTTAATTCTGGTCAAGGGGGCACGTACTTTGGTTGCAGGCTTGATCCCCAGCCCTGGTCAGGGTGTGTGTGGGAGGCAACCAATCGATGTGTCTCTCACATCAGTGTTTCTCTCTATATCTCCCCCTCCCTTCCACTCTTTCTAAAAATCAATGGAAAAATATCCTCGGGTGAGGATTAACAACAACAAAAAAACTACATGTGGGTAGTGGCTACCATATTGTGTTATGCAGTTCTAATGTTAAGGATGAGAAGGGCCAACCCAGTAAAAGCTATTACTCTCATAGATAGAAGTAAAGTTGCTGTCTTTGCAAAGTACTATTCTTTTCTAGCTTCTCAAGTTGGGCACAGCAGTGATAGCATGACAGACAGTTGCTGATGATGAGTAGTGATCCCTGCTTCTAGAACAACCTCTTGTGCTTTCCAAACTTTTTCATCTTGCCTACTTTTTACCCTTGTGCTCTGACATTTAGCACAATGCAAAGTAATATGTGAGAAAGCCTATTAAGAGTAAGAAAAATGTCTCTGCAGAATATTTGTTCACTTCAATTAATTTAAAGTATGTTGACTGAATTTCTTAACCATTAGGGTTGATATAGAGTTACCATGAGAGTTATGGTGGGTAGAGGCAGCTTTCACTCTAAAGCTGAACAAAAGTCAGCAGTAAGAACACCCAGGTAACCTTCCAGGTTCACTGCGGGCTGGTGAGTGCTGGAGAACTGAGATTATCAGAATCTGGTAGGGTTAGTCTCTGTCTCCTAAAAGGGATAAAATCAGTGATGTAGTTATTTTTTAACCCAATTTTTAAAGTTTGAACTAAAGGTGAAAGCTTATAGGAGATAATATTCACTTACCTTAGGTGGTTGAATATGACCTGATTTTATGTTAACTCATCTCAAAGTCGCCTCCCTGGTTCACTCTACTTTCTGTTTGGGCTCAGTCCTTGGGGTGATGACCAGGGCAGGAAGAACAACCTAAGGAGCAGGATGCTGGAGTCTTTGTGAAGGTGGGCCCTACCTATTCTTTTTTTTTTTTTTAAATATATTCTATTGAGTTTTTACAGAGAGGAAAGGAGAGAGATAGAGAGTTAGAAACATGGATGAGAGAGAAACATCGACCAGCTGCCTCCTGCACACTCCCCACTAGGGATGTGCCCGCAACCAAGGTACATGTCCTTGACCAGAATCGAACCTGGGACCTTTCAGTCCGCAGGCCGATGCTCTATCCACTGAGCCAAACCGGTTTCGGCTTCTACCTATTCTTATCCACGGCTTCCACCATGTGCAATGTCCATGAGTAATTCAACAGATGAGGCAATATGGTTGTGCAGCTTCTCTTTTGTCGCTGACCTTGACCTATTTAGGGTCAATAGGCGATGCAGCAAGTCTTTAGTAGCCTAGAAGTTTTCAAAATTACACTCTTGGACTTACATGTATGTGTAGAAAATGCAGCTCAGCCGAGTGCCTCCTTTGGGGTTCTGTGGTGCTGCCTACGTCCCGTGCCCAGACTAGCCTTGTGTTTATAGCTGGGAGGAATGGTTTGGCCTTCTGCCTTACTTTGTTTGGCTTCAGGAAAGCTCTTTCTGTTGTGTTCATTCTATTGCTAGTTGATTTTTTTCTTGGGAAGAAAAATATTTAAAGAACCACAGCTACTTCCATTTTCTCTTGCTGTTAAAGTAAATTAGCCTCTCTTTGTTTTTCACTTTCTGTGTACCTTGTTGGGGGGAGTGGGTACAAATAGTGTTTTTTTCACATTGTTTACTTATTTCTAAATCTGTTTTAACCTGACATATATTTTCCTGCCAGTGGCACTCATCATTTTACTTCCCAACACTTCTTACATTTTTTTTTGCCTCAGTCTCAGATTGTGCTAAACAGCAGCTTTAATGGCCTGTGACTTTTCTAAGGAAGAGCTGTCATAGTTGATGACTTTTTCTTGTCTTCATAGCTCTTGACCATGACAGATGTGACCAACACACGGATTGTTACAGCTGCACAGCCAACACCAATGACTGCCACTGGTGCAACGACTATTGTGTCCCTAAGAACCACAGCTGCACGGAAGGCCAGGTCAGGGGCTGTCTCTCAAGGATTTCAGAGGATGGAAAAGTCCAGAGTGGGGTTATGTGTAGATTACAATGCGAATGTTATAAAAACTGACCCAGAGTTATTTTTTTAAACCTTCAGTGTAGACTTGGATTTTATTATTGCTCAAGTTTTCTTTTAGGAAGGAATGCCCAGTACATTCTAATTCTAAAGGTCCTTGTCACAGAATTGACGTGTGGTGTTTTAGAAGAAGGAAGGACTGTGGTGTTTTGAGTATGCCCCACTCCCTAGCATGGCTGTGACTAAGTACTAGAGCCGGTGCAAGGCTTGGTGAACTCTGCTGTACAAGGTTTTGGAAGCAAGTTAGATTTGAGACTGAAAGGGATCAGGCATGTAGTAGCCACATTGAATTGTGGAAATAATATACTTTGTATAATCTTCTTGTCTAACTCGAAGCCCAATGCATGAAATTTGTGCAAGAGTAGGCCTCCCCCGCCCCTCCCCCCCACCGCCCCTGCCGGCACTGGCTTCCCTCTGGCACCTGGGACCCGGGCTTCCCTTGCAGCCCCAACTTCGACTACAAGGTTGTCCGGAGGATGTCCAGTCTAATTAGCATATTATGCTTTTTTTATCATAGATGTTATATCTTGGCTTAGCATAATTAATGCTTAATACAGTAGGTCCTCGGGTTACATCAGAGATCTGTTCCTACAGCACGACAAAATGCAATTTTCGCCATAAGTTGGAACCCACCTACATAAGCACCTACGTCGCTCACATGGAGCATATACATAGCAGTAATGAAGTGAAAGAGTAAAAAAATTTAAAAGAAAGATAACAATTCCTGACCTTTACTTGTGGTAAATAAATAATAAAAAAAATAAAGCACATATGTACATACGTCAAAATGACGGAACTTTTTTTTTTATATAAATAAACTAGAGGCCCGGTGCACAAAAATTTGTGCACTTGGAGGGATCCCTCAGCCCAGCCTGTGCCCTCTCACAGTCTGGGACCCCTCAGGGGATGACCACCTGCTGGCTTAGGACCACTCCCCAGGAGATTCGGCCTAAGCTGGAAGTCAGACATCCCTCTGGCAGCCTGGCAGCCCTCGGGGGATGTCCACTTGACAGCGAGGAGTAGGCCTAAGTTGCAGTCAGACATCCTTAGCACTGCTGAGGAGGTGGGAGAGGCTCCCACTACCACCGCTGTACTGGCAGCCATCAGCCTGGCTTGTGGTTGGGCAGGGCTC